GCAGTGTATTTGCCTAATATTATTGCCAAAAAAGTCCCTCTTTAATGATTTTTGTTATGATTTTTTTTCACAATACTATTACTTAATTTCATTCCTTTTGCATTATTGTTTTCACTATTTCCGAAAAATTTATTGAATCAAAAAAATTAATTGAATCAATAATAATTGAGCGCTTAAAAGTTTGTCATCAGTAAAAAATTATTTTCAGACAAGTTTTTCATTTTTACTAGGGAAGGTTGTAACTGGGGTATGGGACTTTGATATGAGGCCTATATCATTCGAAAGCTGAGAATGAGACATTTTCAAATATATATTNTGATTTTGNTGCGGACATTCCAGATCCCCGACCCGGCCCGTTACAAGTATGCAAAAAAGCTATTTTCTGGACCAAAAAATGACCGTCCTGAAAAAAATTTCCATTATTTTATAAAATTAAACATGAAATTTAGATTTTACACTAAAAAATACATTAGAAACTGTTTTGAAATAAGAGATAAACCTGAGTCCCCTACAAGTTTTAGGCCCAAATGTGCCCAAAAATGAGGTTTCACCATGTGGGGGAGTACATGGCAACAAAAATTCGACCAAAATCGACCCTCTCCGATTTTGTTCAAATTTTCATCAGATGTAGTATTACTCTCGTCCGAAATCAATGCACGTTGCGGCCGAAAATTTACTCAAAATCGCATCGTCTGTCGCACAGCGAAAAAACTAATTGATGCATGCGCCTTTAAATACCGTGAGGATTTCGGATTTCTTTTAAATTTTTTTGCAATAATATTAGGAAAATAGATAACTTTTAACACATTTTACTGCAATAAAAATTTTTGGTCGGAGTCCCCCTTTAATACAGTACCTCAACATTTATCGAATTTTCTCAAATTTCTCTCATTTTTTCGCTTGTTTCTGTCTAATTTTGTGTAATTCTTATAAATCTTTAATGTATTTTTCTTATAAAATAGAAAAAAAACAGCCAAATAGGGCCCACAATAAAAAACGTCCGAAGTACGGTATTTAAAGGCGCATGCATCAATTAGTTTTTTCGCTGTGCGACAGACGATGCGATTTTGAGTAAATTTTCGGCCGCAACGTGCATTGATTTCGGACGAGAGTAATACTACATCTGATGAAAATTTGAACAAAATCGGAGAGGGTCGATTTTGGTCGAATTTTTGTTGCCATGTACTCTCCCACATGGTGAAACCTCATTTTTGGGCACATTTGGGCCTAAAACTTGTAGGGGACTCAGGTTTATCTCTTATCTCAAAACAGTTTCTAATGTATTTTTTAGTTTAAAATCTAAATTCATGTTTAATTTTATAAAATAATGGGAATTGTTTCCAGGACGGTCATTTTTTGGTCCAGAAAATAGCTTTTTTTCAAAAAACTGAAATTTTTCCATGAAAGATGGAAGAATATAAATGTAGTGCCAATACAAAAAATGTTCAAAATAGTGCCTAAAAACGTTATACGATAAGACCTAATCGTTATTTCACTTTTGTAAAAAATTTTTTCTAGACACCCCACGACCATATTTTTGCAGGTGTGGGACATGTTGGGACAAACTACATCTCATATACCTTAGAAGTCCATAAACATGCAATATATGAAAAATCAGCCAGAAAAAGCAAGTTTGAATTTTTCTGTACAGTGGATAATAGGCCTGAAGTTGAGTTCTACAGAGAATGCGTCTTAAACATTTGTAATGTTTCAGTTGTCAACAACAAAAAAAGATGAGATTTTTTGAAAATTAATTCGGATGTTCAGACGACTCAAATAGGCTTTGAGTTTGATTTTCGTTGAAGAAAATCAAAACATCGGTAAGAAAAAAAAAGAAAACACTCACATTTCCAATAGATCCAAGTTAACGATACATTCGAGTAACAATAGTCTGGGAAGCTCTAATAGAGGGAATTGATTCTTTAGCTTTGGTGTTTTTCTTTTTGATTTTTTCGGTAATCTGTTCCGTGTTTGGAGTTGTGAAAAAGCCAAAATGGTTTCTCGAAGGCTCATTTCTGACTCTTTTCAACCGAAAATCGATAGGTGGAAAAAATTCAAAAAAGAAGGAGGACCGTTCCTGACAGCCAGCTGGTGTACAATAGAGCGCATTTGTTAAGTTTTATTTCTATAATTTTTAATTAATCAAAATTCGTTTCTTTTGATTGAAACTATCGAAAAAAAAAAATCACTTAAAACCGATATTTAAAAAGCCTAAATTTAAACTCCCGCTAAAAAGATTCAAAGGCGCACACGCCTTGGCGCCGATTGGGTCTCGCGACGAAATCTGGACTGCCTATTTTTCGGCATTTTTTTCCGGTTTTTTGAGGTTTTCAGCGCGAATTTTTGGATTTCCCCGCGAAATTTTTGTTCTAGAAATTATTTTAGGCCAGTTGACACCTTTATTTGTCATTTTTAGCTCGCAAATCTCTATCTCACCTTGTTAAAGTTCTAATTTTCCGAAAATTCTTTATCACAATATTTTTTATGGCCTTTTTTCCGAATAACCTCTCTTCTAAACAAGTAGTTTTGCAGGTAATCATTATGTCCGTCGAAGGTCTCCTCTCCGAAGTCCGTCACTTCAACGCACACGCTTTGGAGGTCGCTCACGGCGAGCAACTCCACTACGGAGGAAAGCGCGTCTTCTCCGACGTGAAGCCAGGATGCTCGGGAGCTCAGAAGGGCAGCGAGCTCAAGGAAGCTGTTGGACACGCCAAATGCCACGCTGAGAAAGCCGTCAACAAGGGAGGAAACAGTAAGCGACAGCGTTTTTATCAAAAACACTAAAATTCCAATTTTTCAGGCGGTGATGTTTCCCAACTCCAGCAAGAGCACTCCGCCCTCGTCAAGAAGGTTGACCAGTTGGCCAGTCTCGTCGCCGAGCTCCAGCTCGAGATCTCCACCTTCAAAAAGGGACAGGTAATGATAAATCGTCACGTTTTGATCCTTGGCGACGGGAATCTCTCATTCTCGCTTGCCATCGCCTCGTCTGACCCTGGAAATATCTATTTTGCGACTGTTTTTGATTCCCGAGAGGAATTTATCAGAAAGTATCACGCAGACGATACACTAGCAGCTCTCGGAGCTCTGAAAAACGCTGTTTTGGTGTTCGGGGTGGACGCCACAGATTTGCCAGCTCGTTGGTGTAACCAATTCCATACGATTATCATGAACTTCCCACACCCTGGCGGAAAGACCAACCTGCGGAAAAGCAAGATCCTGCTGACTGGAATCTTCAAATCTCTGCACACAATCATGAACAACGACGCCAGATTCCTTCTGAGCCTTGCCACTGGCCAATCCGGCATTGAGAAAGTCGAAAATCCGTGGATTTCGGAGCTTCCGACGCATAAAAAGGATTCCTGGCAAGCAATTTATTTGGGTGCCGAGGAAGGCTTCGTTCTGGATAGTGTGGAGATTTTCGATACCGAGCGGTTCAAGTCGTACAAGTCATCGGGCTACAAAGAGACCAAGAAGGGATTCAATAATCGAGAAGGGCTGACACTGGGTTTTAAGAAGTGTGATAATCAGCAGGAGTCGTTGGAGGACTTCCGAAGAGCCGAAACTGGCGCAAACTCCGGCTTCAACTACTACAGACCATTTTACACCCAGGATTTGTCGTTTTTGTTCAAAGAATCTGAAATACACGGTGAACGTCTGGCGATGGATCTGATAAAATCGTTGTCCGGGAACTGTCTCGCTGAAATCACAGAAGTAGAGAGTCTCCGTTCGATTTGCCCTGATCCACCACTACCGAATAGAATCTATCGAATTATTTGGCAAGGTTGGAAGCTGCCGATGGGACGGGAGATGTGTGGAAGGATTCATGAAGAGCTGCGGTGCCGAATTGAGGAAAGAATTGAGCAAGAAGAGCTGCCAATTGTGTTGACCTAATTGTTAAAGTAATTTTTGTTAGTTGTTTTGGTTATAGAAAGAAAACCGTCGCAAAAATGATAGTTTCAAGTGTTATAGAGGTTCAAAATCCCTTAAAATGTATTTTTCGATCTAAAATTTCTATTTTCAGACCTCCGCTGCTCCAGCTGCTGCTGCTGCTGCTCCAGCCAAGGAAGAGGCTGCTGGCGACGACGACTTCGATCTCTTCGGATCCGAAGACGAGGAGGAAGACGAGGAAAAGAAGAAGATCGTCGAGGAGCGTCTCGCCGCCTACGCTGAGAAGAAGGCCAAGAAGGCTGGACCGATCGCCAAGTCTTCGGTCATTCTCGATGTGAAGCCATGGGACGACGAGACCGATCTCGTGGAGATGGAGAAGCTCGTCAGAAGCATCGAGATGGACGGACTCGTCTGGGGAGGTGGGAAGCTCTTGCCAATTGGATACGGAATCAAGAAGCTCCAAATTATCACCGTCATCGAGGATCTGAAGGTGTCCGTCGACGATCTGATCGAGAAGATCACCGGAGACTTCGAAGACCACGTTCAATCGGTGGATATTGTTGCCTTCAATAAGATCTAAGGACATTCGTTTTGATTTTAAAAAAGTATATTTTTTATACTGATTATGTTATCTGTGAAACATTTTCCTTTTTGTTTGTTTTCTATTTAAGAATAAAGCCTCTTTTCTTGCATTTAATTCGAACAACAACCGGTTTCGAAACCTCTGCTCTGTAATACTGAACAACCCATTTCGATAAAGTTTGAATTCAGAGAAAGATTTCACATTTTTGACCTAATAAATTCGTTTTTCTAGCCTGTTTCTTTGCTTAAAATGACCGACAGACACCAAAAACTGACACCAGTAAGTTATTCAAATTTCCCACCGAAAAACGAGAGATGCGCCAACGACGCACGCGAAATGCGTCAGTGGTGTGACGCGTTTCGCGCCAAGCGTCATTGTTCGCGTGATTCAATTTCACCCAATTTCGCGCGACTTCAATGAATTTTCATCTAGTTTTCGAGCAAATTCGAATGTAAAATAATATTTTACATGTTGAGAAACCTATTTTCATCGCAAAATATTGAAAAAAACTCACAAAATCGCGATTTTCGCCTTACGAAATTTCGTCAGTTTTGCCCCATTGTTTTCGAAGACGCGTTATCGATTTTCACACAGTTTCGCGTACAGTCTCAAGCGATTTTTGTCCTCCTTCTCGCCTAATAAACCCCTTTTCGATTTAAAACTTTTAAAAATCAAAATTTTTCCCAGGTATGCGTGCCTCTCGTCGCAGTGGTGCCAATGGTAGTAGTCTCAACAAAGCCACGGTCCCGTTGTTGCCGAAAAATCGGCTTGTGAAGGTAAAAAATTTCCAATAGAGCGGGAAATGGAAATTTTGAAATTCCAGGAGCTCCAAGACCGCGGTCTAGACACAAATGGCGTGCAGACGGTGTTGGCTGACAGGCTGTTGGAGTTTTTAGACATCGAGGATGGCACGATTCCAGCGCCAGCAGGGACTCCAGTAGCTGTGAGTTGCAAAGTAAAATTTTTGGCTGAAAAAATCAGAAATTTCAGAAAAAACCACCTCCAGCGGCCGCCAAAAAAGCCACCCCGAAGGGCACAAACTCTGCCAAGAAGGGAAAAAAGGTGGTGAAGGAAGAAGTGGAAACAGAAGAGGAGGAGGATGAGAAGCCCGATGTCTCAGAGCTCATCGAGCCGCCCAAACGCGGTCGGAAGCCTTCAGAAGCCAAGAAGAAGGTTATAAAGCAAGAGGTGCCAGATGAAGAAGAAGAAGAGGAGGAGGAGGATGCTCCTGTAGTCATTGTTCCAACTCCCAGAGGCAAGAGAAAGGCTCCAGGAAGGCCGCCAAAGCAGGTGAACGATGAACCAGAAGAGGAGCCTGAAGAAAAGCCAGAAGACGTCCCACCAAGTAGAAGAAGTGGAAGAAAGTCGAATCCTCCTCCAGCACCACCGAAAAAAGACAAGAAAAAAACAGTGGTCGTTGTGAAGACTGAGGAGCCAGAGGAGGTTCCAGAAGACGTTCCGTCGACTTCAGAAGCTCCTGCAGCTCCAGAAATCGTCTCTGAAGTTGTAGCAACTCCTAAGAAGAATGGGAAGTTACCAGAAGTCGTAACCTCGAGGTCCGAGGAGAAGAGGGCTCGAAAGAAGAGTGCGAAGCTTCTGGAAGCCGAGGAATCAATGGTAGATGAAGTGGAAGAGGTGCAAGAGGAGCCGCAAGAGCTCCAAGAGCTACAACAGGAGATTCAGGAGGAAATTCAAGAGCCAGAGAGAAAGAAGCAGAAGATAAAGGAGGAGGTTCCAGATTCTGATGAGGAAGAGGTAGAAAAGTCTCAAAAGGAGAAGAAGAAGAAGGTGGTGCGAATAAAAGAGGAAATCATCGACGAGGAATACGCCACGTCATCCGACCCAGATTTCACACCGCCTGCTCCGGACTCTGAGCCAGTTCGCCATTCGAAACGAATCAAAGAGCACTCTGAACAGAGCTACGAGGCGTTGCTCGCGATGCAGATCCAGAGAGACAAGGCTAAGAAGCAGAGAACGATGTCTTCTAGTACCTATCAACCGCCGGCACCTGCACCAGCGCCAGCGCCACGAAAACCGGATTGGCAGGCGCAGTGGAAGGCCAAAATGGAGGCGAATAAGAAGGCGACCGCGGCGGCTCCAGCTCCGACGACGCCAACGACTCCACTAGTAGAAGTTGCGAAACGGAAAGAATCCGGTACCGCGGAGATACCGAAGAAGAAGAAGAAGGAGGTGACGATTGATGCGATCGAAGCGTTGATGGCGTCGACGCATAAGGAGAAAGCCGAAAAAAGTGAGTGGAATAGTCTAGAATTTATACTGAATCGAGGCTAAATTAACGAGTAATTTGGGCATTGTTTGGCTCAGAATAGTCTGAAAATAGCTAAAAATGGTTCTTAAAGTGGGATGAACAATTTTTTTTTTGGAAAAATGACTGAGAATAGTCTGAAATTGGCTGTAATAGGACGCAGATAGCTCTGAAATTAGGCTGAATCAACTAGAAATTCGCTCTAAATTGTCTTGAAACAAGCTGAAAATGAATCTAAATGACTCAAAACTCGCTTAATTTTGCCTCAAATTAACCCAGCGAGGTCTGAAATTGGTTGAAATCCGACCCATTTTTGACTGAAATAGGTCTTTCAACGGATTCAGATGGGTCTGAAATTGGGCTCAATAGCTTTAAAAAAATTATCAAATTGGTCTAGAAATTGTCTCCGCCCACTTTTAGGGCCCCGAAAATGGGATTTTATGCTCTTTGTGAGATTTATTCTGTAGTGGGCGGAGCCTAAATTTAGATTCACTCCTTTCGAAATCTGGCAAATTTAATGAGAAAATATCAGATATTTTTAATATCTGTGCATTTTAAATCCCATAAGAGATTTTTTGTTTAGAATTTATTCTGAATAGGGGCTAAATCAACCTGAAATTTGGGCACCGTTTGACTCAGAATAGTCTGGGAATAACTAAAAAAATGACTCTGAAATTGGGATAAAAAGCTGTCTTATCAGGAAAAATGACTAGAAATTCACTCTAAATTGTCTGAAAATGTACCAAAATTACGCTAAATTTACTCTAAAATGGCTCAAAACTCGGCTAAATTTGCTCTAAATTAACTCGAAATAATCTGAAATTGTCTGAAAATGATCTATTCTTGACTGAAATAGGCTCTTCACCGGTCACAGATAGCTCTGTATTTGGGCTCAAACACCTAGAAATGTTCTCTAAATTGACTCGGAAAACAGTTTTAATCTCGATGAAAACGGCCCGTATTTGGCCAAAAATGACTCAAAACGAGCCAAAATTCGCTCTAACGTAACGAAAAAAGCCGGAAATTGGCTGAAAATGACCCATTAATATGTCAAAAATGACTCAGAATTCGGTTAATTCAACCTGAAATTTCCCACACAATTCAGCTGAAAATGACCCATTTTTGACTGAAATAGGTCCTTCTACGGACCCAGATGGCTCTGAAATTTGGCTCAATAGCCTTAAAGTTAGTTGAAAATGGTCAAATTTAAGTAAAAAATCGTCAAATTGGTCTAGAAATTGGCTCCCCCCCCCCACTTTTAGGACCCTGAAAATGGGCTTTTATGCTCTTTGTGAGATTCTGTAGTGGGCGGAGCCTAAATTTAGATTCACTCCTTTCGAAATCTGGCAAATTTAATGAGAAAGTATCTGTGCATTTTTGATCTCTTTGAATGCCAAACGAGATTTTATCGTTTTGAAATGACGAATCCAAGAATCCTATCCCCAAAAATTCTATACTAAATCTCATTTGAACCCTTCCAGAAGCTTCCTTGGAGCGCTCCGAACGCCCCACAGAACGTGCCGTCGGTGGAGCCGATGCCTCAGGAACCGATTACGCCCAAAATCAGCTTCGTAACGTCGCAAAGGCCGCTCCACCACTCGCTCCAGGCCTATTTTTCAACAATCAGCCACCAGTCGTCGCGAAGATCCCGCCAGCATCCCATCCATACGCTTCGCATATAAAAATGATGCCACCTGGAATGATTCCACCGCCACCACCACCAGCAGGTCAACCCACCAGACGTCGTCAATCGAGATTCGATCAACCGCCGCCAGAAGCGATCGCTGTTCAGCAGCAGCAGCAGCATTTCTATGCCAATTCGGTATGTTTTAAAAATCTGAAAATTTCAGCCGAAAAGTTTAGGTGGTTTATCGGCGCAGCGACATCATCTTCAAAAAAATGGGAAGATCTTCAAGAAAAAACGAAACTTGTGATCCTGATATTTGTGTTGTAAAGCAAAAAAAAAAGAATATTTTCTATCCTCCCGTCCCCTCTCATGTTCTTTTTTTCTCGATTTTTTTCTACTGTTTTCTACTTTACTACGGATTCATGAGTTCCGTCAAAGTCTACATATATATATCTATAATTGTGTGAATCGTCCTCTTCCCCCGTCCTAAACTCGCGATCTTTTTCAGAATGCCAGCCAGCAACCACCTCCACCCCCTCCATCGCTCACCACGGTGCCACAGATCTCGAAACGATCGTCTGGAATCAGTTTGCACGTTCCACCACCGCCGCCAGGAAGAAAGCCAACGACGCTAGATGGAATCGTACCGCCACCGCCGCCGAAGCCGCCAGTTGTCGTTCAGATTCCACCAGCAACACCGCCGACGTCGGATTTGCAAAGGGTGAGTTTTTGGGAGCGATAGAAGGGCTAGACGGAGTCACAGCGCTTGAAAATTTGGAATTTTGAGCATCGGAAGGCTTCTGGAACTTTTTCCCTTCATCGTAGGGCTAGAAGGCTCTGATTTGAAGCCTGAAGGGCTAGAACGCGTCAAAGCGCTTCAAAAGCTGAAATTTTGAACGTCGGAGAGCTTCTAGAATATTTCCCAACATCGTAGACCTAGAAGGCGTCAATCTGAAACCTTTAAAGTTCTGAAATTGAAAAAAATTCCAGGAAGTATGAAATTCCAGTTAGTCTAGCCCTGCTAGAATGCTTTAAATCACTGTAAAAATTGATTTTCAGCGCGTCCAAGCGCTATTCTCGAGCGAGCCAGTCACTGCCGTCCCCGTCGTCTTCTCGCCACGCGAATCCACGTCTTCTGCTCCGATCTCTGCAATATCTCCATTCTCAATCCCACCACCTCCTCCACCACCGCCTCCGCCTCCACCGAAGCCTCCAGTTGCTCAGACAGTGCTGAAAACGGAGCCAGAAGGGAATGACGACGATGATGAGTTTGTGATTCGGGATACTGTAGTTGAAGAGCCAGAGGAATCGTCGGTACCTGCTCCAGTAGCTGTCAAGCCAAGCGTGAAGGCTGAAAGAAGCTCTGCGACACCTCCACTACCTCCACCAAGGTACACTGAAGAAGATAACGCGCCAAAGGCCATCAACAGGGTTGAGGAGCTTCGAAAGAAGCTGGCACTGGCTGAAGAACGGCAACGACGAGCTGCGGAGTTGGGAGATGGAGAGTACGATCCATTGGATGATGCGACGGCGCAAGAGGAGACTGAAGAGGTTTGGGAGTATCAGCCAACGACGAGAGTGGAGGATGAGGAGGAGGAGATGGAGCAGGACGACGAGGAGGATGAAGAGATGGATGATGAGGAAGACGATGAGGAGGATGAGGACGAGGAGGAACAAGAAACGGAGGAAGCCGCTGGAGAGGTTCCAGAAGAAGAGAAAATGGAGGATCTAGAGATCGAGATCCCTCAGAATCCAATGGAGCTGTTCAAACGCGCGCTACCGCTTCTCCATTCGTCTACTGTAGCGGAGGCACCGAAGAATGACTACGCTCAAGTGGATATCCCGATGACAGAATCGCTTCTAACCCGACCGCAAGAAGAGCAACAAGGCGAGGTCTATTATCATGGTGATCCAGTGCCAGAGGTCGATGAGAATGAGCTGTATGAAATAGCGGCAGGAATCAAGCCAAAGAAGAAGGACAAGAAGCCGTTGGTGCAGATTCCAGAGGAGGAACGAGTGCCAGTTGATAACGATACCATTGAGCTGGATTATTGTGAGTTTTGAGCAGTGTGTGATATTGGTACGGTTTCGGTAAATTTGCCGGTAAATTTACCAGTAACTTACCGGTAATTTTTAGAAAGATTTTCTGTTTTTTTTTTTCAATATTTGTAACCGCGACGTTTCAGAACTGCGACGTTTTAGAACTGCGACATTGCAGAACTGCTACATTTCAGAACTGCGACATTTTAGAACCGCGACGTTTCAGAACCGCGACATTTTAGAACCGCGACGTTTCAGAACTGCGACGTTTTAGAACCGCGACGTTCCAGAACTGCGACATTTTAGAACCGCGACGTTTCAGAACTGCGACGTTTTAGAACTGCGACGCTTCAGAACCGCGACATTTTAGAACCGCGAAGTTTCAGAACTGCGACATTTTAGAACTGGGACGTTTCAGAACTGCGACGTTTTAGAACTGCGACGCTTCAGAACTGCGACATTTTAGAACTGCGACGTTTCAGAACTGCGACATTTTTTTTCAGAACTGTTGCAAAACTGTCAAAAAAAACTAGTGAAACAGCAGAAAAAACATTCGTGTAGTCCTCGAGGAAAATAAGAATTTTACTGGTAGTTTGCCGGTAATTTACCGGTAAAACACTCGTAAATTTTCGGTAGTTTTCAAATTCACCGGTAGGTTACCGGTAAGTCTGGTTTTGAGCACGAAAAGTAGGGGTTTTATTCCAAAAATTGAATTTGCAGATAATGCTGACATCCTTGTGAAGAGCGCCGAGAAGAATATTTGGCAAATCGAACCATTCTGTCAGGATGGTCTAGCCCTTATGTGGGGAGGCATCAGGTCGAACTTTGGAATCCAACTTCCGTTCAAACAAACAGACAAGGACAAATCGCATCGGCTAGCCTTCCAAATCCAAATCGACGCCTTCCAATCGATGCAACACCTTCCAACGGAATTTATGCAGGAGGAAGGAGACGTTCGAATGGGATTCTCGCTTGCTTCGACGCCTCTGGCCCTCGGAGAAAGTTCCGGATCATGGTGTATCACTGCGACGGGAAAGAAGGCGTCCAACAATCATTTTTACGAGTTTACAAGAGCCTTCCTTGTCGGCGATTGTGTTACTTGTATTCTGGATCTTCTGGAAGGTTCGATTTCCTATCAAATTAACGGAGAAGACGTTGGAACTCCTTTCGAGAAGATTCCATTGAGAGAAGGGGATATTATTTTCCCAACGATTTGCACAAAAAATGCCAATATCAATGTGAATCTGGGACAGGAGTTGAGTGATGAGAAGTGGAAACTATCGGAGGATCGTGACTGGATGTTCATCACCGAAATGGATCGAGCTCATCTCGTTCGCTCTCACACCGCGCCTGCAGCAAAGAAGGACTGTACAGTACTGATGACTGTCGGTCTTCCAGGAGTTGGAAAAACCACGTGGGTTCGTCGTTACCTTGCGGAGCATCCACACGAGCATTGGACACTGATCAGTGCTGACGTTGTGATCGATGCGATGAAGGTGAATGGAGTGCCCAGAATCCGATTGCCAACTCTGAAGCGTCCGGATTTCCTTCGAGGAATTATTGGAAAATCGATGAGTCGTCTGATCTCCCTGGCACCTCGTAGAAGGAAGAACTACATTTTGGATATGACCAATTGTATGGCAGATAGAAGAAAAAAGAAGCTGATGGGATTTGAGGAGTTCAATAGGAAGTGTATGATCTTTGTACCCGATGAGGATACACATATGAAGAGGTTGATCAAGCAAGAACACGAGGAGAACGAGAAACTGGACACTGACGCTGTGATGCAGTACAAAGCGGCCATGTCGCTGCCGATTGTGGCTGAAGGAGAGCCGTGTGAAGAGCTGATCTTCATAGATCCGCCGGCGGGAATGGAGGATTTGGCGTTCGATCGGGTCGCTAAGATGAATTATGAGTGTAGATCGTGGTTGCAGTTGCCGAGAAGGAGAGGAGGAGGTGAGAAAAGCTCTGAAATAGCTTGAAAAATCTGAGAAAATTGGCTGAAAATGACCCGAATCTGACTGAAATATGCCCTTCATTGGACCCAGATGTCTCTGGATTTTAGCTCAAAATACTTTGAATTTGGTATAGATTAGCTCAGAATAGTCTTAAATTGGCTGAAAATGAACCTAAATTCGCCACAGATTAGCTCTAAACTCAAGAAGTCTAAAATCGTCTAAAAATAAGCCTAAGTCAAGCCTAAAATGCCCCAAATTAGCTTGAAGGCCTATTACCGTAAAACCTCTAATAGAACGACACCCGGATCGTCCATTTTGAGCCTATATATCTCATTTTCTGTGAAAGATATCAAAAAGTGGCTAAATAGTAAAATGTTGCTGATATCCTGATAAACATTTTACTAGTTAACCACTTTTTGGATATCTTTTCAAAGAAGTGAGATATATAGGCTCAAAGTGGACGATCCGGGTGTCGTTCTATTAGAGGTTTTACGGTATCTCGATTCAAGGGGGTTTTAAGCTAACCTGGGCCAATTTAGACCGTTTTAAATCTTATTTAGCCTATATATGGCCAATTCCAGGTTTAAGGCTTTTCAGGCTGAAATTATAAGCCTAAAAATGACCCCCAAAAAACTATGAATTTTCCAGGCTACCATAACAATCATCACCGGGGAAACGGCGGAGGCGGAAGCGGAGGCTACCAACCTCAACACAACCAATACAACAACGATCACGGCTACACCCCATACAACAATCGACCATCGACAAGCGGTGGACAATACTCGCCACGTGGCGGTCCCTCATCCTCAATGAACATCACACATACCACATTCGCCCCGAATGCTCAACGAGAAGAGCCTACGATCATATTGCCGCCTGTCAAAATCACGATACCAGTTGCAACGACGTCTCCGGTGGTCACGACTTCTGCTCTGTCAGCTCAAGACTCACCTGCATCCAGTATCCGATCCTCTGGTCCAGTGTCAACGAACCAATTCTCGTTCCCACCACCATCAGTTCCACAGTCGCCAGCCCCACCGACGCCACAACCGATTCAAGCGCTTCAGAATCAGCAGCAACAGATTCAGAAGCAGGTTCAGGCTCAGGCTCCAATTCAGATGCCAAAGAGAGTAGAAGTGTCCCAACCGCTCACGTTGAACACCTCCCTTCCTTCTAAAATGAGTGGTCCACCATCTGCAACATCATCTGTGAACTCTCCAAGATTGACTACGCCCATCAGATCCTTGGCTCCAGTCACCCCAGTGACGCCAAGTGTCATTCCACAGGTTCCGATGGTTCTGAATCAGCCACCACCGCCAGTGATGCCACAGATGATGATGTCGGTTCCGCCGCCAACGCTGATGGCTCAGATGAGACAGCCACCACCGACGATGTTGTCACAAGGCGTTTTTCCTATTGATGTGGTGAGTTTTTTAGAAAGAAAATTAGGCTCCGCCCACTTAAAGGGTCGTGAATAGTGAATTTTAGACTTTTTGAGAGATTTTGGAGATCAAGAAAATCGCATTTTTGGCCCAACAATATAGGCTCCGCCCACTTTTTGGGGTACTGTAAAATTGGGGTTTAGGTTCCGCCCACTTTCCATTTCTTTCAATCTTCTCGAGTTTTGAAAATTATAGGAAAAAGGATTAGGCTCCGCCCACTTTCGAGACCCTGGAAGACGGATTTTAGGCGCCGCCCACTTTATAAATCCTGACATTGTCGCTTTAGGCTCCGCCCACTGGGGGTTTTGAAAAATCGGATTTTCGGATATTACAAGAAGAATTAGTCTCCGCCCAATTAAGGGATCCTGAAAGTTCAGATTTTAGGCTCCGCCCACTTTCAATTTTCTTAAAATTCATTAATTATGAAAAAATAATAGCTCTCTTTAGGGATACTGGTTATTGGATTTTAGGCTCCGCCCATTTTTTGAGGCTCTGATTAATAAGATTTTAGGCTCCGCCCACTTTCGATCCCTCTACATTTTTAGCTATGGAAATTATGAAAACATTAGGCTCCGCCCACTTTAAGTGTCCTAAACATTGCATTTTATACGCGAAAAAATTAGGCTCTGCCCACTTCGCATATCTTTGACATTCTTTAGATCTTGAAATTGATAGGCTCCGCCTACTTTATGGATTTTGAAGAGTGAATTTCAGGCTCCGCCCACCTTCTATTCTTTCAACATTCTTTAGATCTAGAAATTGCGGCAAAAATTAGGCTCCGCCCATTACAGAGATCTTGAAAATGGGATTTTAGGCTCCGCCCACTTTCCCACATCTCTCTATATAAATTCAAATTTCCAGACTGTTCCACCGCCAAACTTCTCCGCTCCACCACCACAACTGCCACCACCTCCTGTCGCAGGCATTCCACCACATTTGATGATGTATCAACAGGCTCCGCCCCTCGTGACTCCGCCCACACCCGCCCAATTCTCATATCCACCACCACAATTTAATCCACATTGAACTTTTTTTTGAATTTTTTTCGATTTTTTTAAATTTTCACCCATTTTCGTTGTTTTCTCTTACCCTGATTCTTCATCTTTGTAACATTTTCCTTCATTTTTTTTTCAATTTTTCCGAAACTTCAAAATCTCCAGTTTTTTTTATTCAAAAATCATCCGCCCCTTTCTTCAAAAAAGTGACTTTAATAACAAGAAACTGTTCTCTTTCTCTTTTTTTTAATTTTTCGCCATTTTTTAACCACCTAGTTTCTCTCCTCTTTTTTTAAGCCCCGCCCCCTCCTCTCTGAAAATCAAAAACTTCCTTCTAAAAAATTTCAGCCCCACGCCGGTACCCCGCCCCCTAATTTCTGTTGTAATCAAATCTTTCTTTTTTTTCATTCATAATCTGAAAATTTGGGGAATAAAAAGTTAGAAAACACCCAAAAAAATTGGAAATTAGGGGATTTTTAGGATTACTGTAGGTTTTTATTGAATTTTTCTAGATATAAGGACTCGCGACCTAGATAATTTTTAAAATTTTTATTGCAATTTTATTTTTCAGAGAATTTTTGAAATTTTAAGATTTTTGACAGGGAAATTAGGCTCCGCCCCTTTTGAAGGGGAGCCCATCAAAGGGGCGGAGCTTAATTTTGGGGAATAATGACGATGGAAAGGAAGCGGGGAAGGAGAACGAAGGAATGGGAAAGGGAAAGGAAGAATAGGCTCCGCCCACTTTATTGATTTCAGCACAAGGAATCCGAATAGGCTCCGCCCACTTTAGAGAAGACAATGGAAACGGAAAAGAAAATAGGAATGAGAACGAAGGAAATGAAAAATTAGGCTCCGCCCACTTAAAGGGTTTCAGCACAAACTGGGAATTTGAATAGGCTCCGCCCACTTTTGATGGAGATAAGGACGAAGAAGATTACTGTAGATTTTTGTAGAAAAAAGCCCAGGAAATCTGAATAGGCTCCGCCCATTTTCCTCAAAGAATTTTAGAGACGAAAACGGAAAAGATTACTGTAGTTTCGAAGAATTCAGTAAAGTTTGAATTTCTCTAAAATCGTAATTTTAAAAATTCTTGATTTTTTTAGGAAAAGATTACTGTAGATTCAAATATATTTAGGCTCCGCCCATTTCGGATAAAATTTCGAATTCCCTGAATTTTCGTTTTTTGGAAGAGATTACTGTAGATTCATTTAGGCTCCCCCCCATTTTTATAAAGTTCTGAAATTCTGAAATTTTCGAAAATTCTGAATTTCCTAATTTTTTTGAAAAAAACTGGTTCTTGATTTTCAGAATATTCCGAAGTTCTTGATTTTCAGAATATTCTGGAAATTTCTGGAAATTAAATTTTTGAAAAATTCAAATTTATTATTTTTAAAAAAAAATTGAAATTTGTAAAAAAAAAAGAAAAAGTTCAAATTCTCGACATTGATGCTGTATTGATAGATGAGGTGTTGCTGATTTTCTGAAAAAAAAATATTTTTCTTGAAAAAAATTAAGCTCCGCCCCTTTTGTAACTATGTGGCGCGTTAATTTATAAAAATGACTGAAAGTTGGAAGGCAACGATTCGGGAATTTTTTGAAATTTTGAAAAAAAAATTTTTTTTTAACTTGCAAAAAATTAAAATTTGTGAAATTTTGAAAAACCAAAAAAATCGCGCCGCAGAATTGCAAAAGCCACCTGCGGGAGGGGCCGGAGCTTCCACACAAAAGAGGCGGATCTTACCTTGCTCTTGATTCCGAAAACCAATTTTTTGAATTCCCGCTTGATCGTTTCATTCATTGTGACATAAATCAACGCGGGACACCCGTGATTGATGGACCAACACAGTTGTCCCGATAGAAGAATCCAGAAGGATGGGGTGATGAATGATAACGCGTTGTAGATAAGAGCAGAGACAGTGTTAAAGAAACAGATTATGATGCATTGGAAGAAAATCTGGAAAAAAATTCTGCAAAAATGATGGCCTAACTTTTGCACGTTGAGTTTTCTAGGCCACCATGGTAAATGACCTAGAAATCAGCCGGAATGTTTTCTAGGTCATTTTAACATGTCGGCCTAACGGGTTTTCTAGGCCATCATGGTAGATGGCCTATAAATTGACTTTTGATGTTTTCAGGCCAAAATTCAAAAAAAAGTTCAAAATTTTTGAATTTTCAAACTTACCGCCATTGATGCCTTCGATTTCTGACCCCGTGCGATTTTCTTGATCATCGCACAATAGATTGAAAATAAAAGGAACATACAGGTGACGAAAATCCAGTTGTTCCAGGCTTGAGGCTTGTTTTTGTACTGGAAGATTTTGAAATTTTTGTCGGTGGCCTAGAAAACTCAAAATGCGAAAGTTAGGCCACCATGAAAAAACGGCCTAGAAATCGCCCCAAGTGTTTTCTAGGCCATTTCACCGTGGTGGCCTAGAAAACTCAACTTGCAAAAATTAGGCCACCATGTTTAAGTGACCTAGAAACCCCATTAGATGGTCATTTCTAGGACATTTACCTTGGTGGCCCAGAAAAATCAACTTCCGAAAGTTTGGCCACCATGTTGAAATGGCCTCGAAATGACTTAACATGCCCCTGGGGTGTTTTCTAGCCTATTTAACATGGTGGCCTAGAAAACTCAAAATGCAAAAGTTAGGCCACCATTATAAACAAATAAAACCAACCATTTGTGTAGCCGCCTCGCTTGGTACCATTTCAGACAATGGGTCCGGAATCCATGAAATCCAAACAGAATTATAACAAATCGATGGGGTA